TGTGTGCCAATGTGCCTAGCTGATTCTCATTTTTTTAAATTTATTTTTTATTTATTCTACTTAGGTGTACATGACAGCAAAATGCTTTTCAATTCATGGTACACAAATGGAGCACAACATTTCAATTCTCTGGTTGTACACTGTGTAGAGACACACCATTTGTGCAATCATACATGTAGGGAAATGATGTCCATCTCATCCCACCATCTTTTCTAGCCTCATAACCTCTCCCCACCCTCCCCTTTGCCCAATCCTCCCATGAGTCAAAAGAACCATATTCAGAATAGTAGCTGGTACTGAGGCACATGACGTCAATCCTAGCTACTCAGGAGGCAAAGTAGGAGGATCTCAAGTTCCAATCTGGAGTTTCAATATCCACTATTCAGAAAAAAACATTTGGCCTTTAGTTTTGGGGTTTGGCTTACTTCGCTTAGCATTATATTCTCCAACTCCATCCATTTACCTGCAAATGCCATAATTATTATACTATATACTCAGAATATTTAATGCTGAGTAATATTCCATTGTGTATATATACCACAGTTTCTTTATCCATCCATCTATTGAAGGGCATCTGGGTTGGTTCCACAGTTTAGTTATTGTAATTTATTGTATTTTAGCTATTGAATTCAGCTGCTATGTCATCATAATATTCTGATTTAAATCTGCTGGATGTAGACCGAGGAGTGGGATAGCTGGTTCAAATGGTGGTTCCATTCCAAGTTTTCTGAAGAATCTCTACACTGCTTTCCAAAGTGGTTGCACCAATTTGCAGTCCCACCAGCAATGTATGAGTGTGCCTTTTCCCCCACATTCTCTCTAACAGTTATTATTGCTTGTATTCTTGATAACTGCCATTCTGACTGGGATGAGATGAAATCTTAGAGTAGTTTTGATTTGCATTTCTCTAATTACTAAAAATGTTGAACACTTTTTCATATATTTATTGATTGCTTGTATATCTTCTTCTGAGAAGTGTCAGTTCAGTTCCTTAGCCTATTTATTGATTGGGTTGTTTGGGTTTTTTTGGTATTAAGTTTTTTTGAGTTTTTTATATATCCTGTGTGGTGGTCACATCTGATGTATGTGTATGGTAAAAATTTGCTCCCATACTGTAGGCTCTCTCTTCACCTCAATGATTGTTTCTTTTACTGAGAAGTTTTTAGTTTGTGATTCTCATATTTTAAAGATTTTCAGTAAATGTAGAGAATTGGGCATGGTGGTGAACATCTGTAATCCCAGTGACTCAGGAAGCTGAGACAGGGGGATGAAAAGTTTGAGTCCAGCCTTTTCAACATAGTGAGACCCTGTCTCAAAATAAAAAGTAAAAAGTGCTGGGGTGTAGCTCAGTGGTAGAGTACCGCAGGGTACTGAGGATTCAATCCTCAGTGCACAAAAAGAAACAAAGAAGGAAAGAAAGTGAAAGAGAAAGAAAGAAAGAACCCAAATTGTCTACATAGAACTACATATCATGGTAGACTAAGATATGGCCCCCCCAGTACACCTGGAATTACCTAATAAGTCTCCACAAGTTAGTCTCTAAGGCGATATGCAAACTTGAGGTTTGTATTTTCCTCACCTGGCTATGGGGGCAGAACCCTAGGACTAATGTTTAAACTTGCCAGTGAAGTAAAAAGGGACAGCTATTGTCCAAAAGCAAACAATGCTTCTCTATTTCCTACTTCAAGAGGAAACCTCAAGTGTTTGTCTTAGTAAGAATCCAGGAGACAGTAGCATTATGACCTGTGATCTCCCTGGAAGACTTTGATTTCGACAGCTTGCCCAGGAGGAGATGATCAGTTACCAGGAACTTTCCAACCATGGTTCCAAAAGCAAGTTTCGAAGAGAACATTAAAATTCTAAGGCTGGGAGAGAAGGTCATCACGAGGCAAGATGGTACCAAGACTGGGACTGGAAGTATCATGACATGGGACTTCCCTGCCCTGTCTTCCAGGTGGGGAAACCAAGGCACCAGGAGATCATGTGGTGAATTCAGATGTGCCAGACCCTGCCCAGTAGTGTTAGCATCCAGGGACAACTGTGTATGTTTTCTTTCGGCATTAACTTCATGGGTGTATTTCCATGGGGCCTCTCTTCTCTTAGTATCCATCTTAACCGTTCAGATCACAATGAAAACATCTCTTAAGATCCCAGGAGTGGTGGATTTGGAAGTCCCACAACATTGTAAATCCCTGAATTAACAAAATACTATATACAAGCTCGAAGCTGAGGTAAAGCAACAGTTATTTTATTTTACTTGGATTTGGAAATTAGCTGCCTTTTATTAAACCTCTTACTAAGATTGAAATGGACCAAAATGACTCTAAAGTCATGTACTTGACTCATGGCATGCCTCTGCCTATTATTTTTGCTATTAAACCCAACAACTTATAGCAATTAGTATGTCTTTTTTTTTTTTTTGCTCCCCCCCCAACAATCATTCAGAGATACATCTTACATGCCATTAGGTTACCCATTTTTAAGTGCACAATTCAATGGTTTCAAGTACATTTACCAGAATTGTGCAACCACCACCATCATCCAATTTCAGGACAGTTTCATCATGCCCCAAAGGAATCTTGAGACATGAATAGGTCAACAGTCATTACCCAAGCCCACCTGACCCCCTCAGATAATAAGAGCTTTTGACTAGCCCTTTACTCCATGCCCAAAGAGTTTATTATTAACAGGCAGCAGAATTTTCACAACAGTGAGACGGAGGTGAAAGGGCAGGCTGAACTCCACAGAGACCTGTTCTGCTTACACTGACTTCCTCCAGCAACTGTTCAAGCACAGAGACTCTCTGTCGCCTGTTGGGCTGACTTCCTCCAGCAGGAGTTTGTTTTTTCTGACTGCTGGATTACAGAACATGGTCATTTCCACTGCCATTTCTATTTTTGGATGGAAGAACAGTCTACCCAAGTTCTTCCTGTACGTGAAGAAGCAACCACCACCTTTTTTTTTTTGTACCGGGATTGAACCCAGGGGAGCTTTCCTTTTTTATTTTTTTATTTTGAGACTGGGTCTCACTAAGGTGCTGAGGCTGGCCTCCAAGTTGCAATCCTCCTGTCTCAGCCTCCTGAGTTGTTTCAATTACAGGCATTCACCACTGCTCCTGACACCAAGCACCATTATCTTTTTCACAAATAACAAGTGATCATTTGTCTAGGAACTTAGTTATCAAGCCACCAGGACACAGAAATGGAATCAGTTTGACCATAATAATGACTGAGTTTCATGTAACCATTTTTAGTTTCCATGTTTGAGAGAGAATGTGATATTTTTTTCTGTGTGTGGTTTATTTCACTTGACAAAATGTCCTTCAATTCCATCCATTTTGCTGCAAATCACAGAACATCATAATTTTCTATGGCTGAATAATGTTCCTTTGTGTGTGTGTGTGTGTGTGTGTGTGTGTGTGTGTGTGTATCATATTTTCTGTATCCATTCATCTATCAATGGACTTTTTAGTTGATTCCATATCTTGTCTATTGTGGGGATTGCTGCAATATACATGAAAATACCTACATCTCTTTGATATGCTGATTTTATATCCTTTGGATATATACCCAGAAATTGGATACCTGGATCATTGCTAGATTTATTTTTACTTTTTATTATGTATCTATACTCTTATCTATAATGGCTCTATTAGTAGTTTCCCAAGAGCCTTCCTATGCAGTTTCCATTTGATATCATCAACTTCTCTGTGAGGGTCACATACATATTTTCATAAACACTCGAACCCTTGCTGAGAATATAGCCAGGAACCAAAAATGCTAATTGCCCTCTATTTTCCCTTGTCTTCTGTTCCATGCTTACACAACCAACAAATTGCATTAATTTTTGTTTAAATTTTAATTCGATATATATATATATATATATATATATATATATATATGCAAGAAAAGAGAAACCAGATGAAACAAATTAAAAACAAATATCAAAATGGTAGACTCAAATCCAATTATACTATGTACATTGAATATAAATGCACTCAATACCTCAATTAAAAAGTCACGAGGCTGCAGTGGTAGAGTGCTTGCCTCCCATGTGTGAGGCCCTGGGTTTGATCCTCAGCACCGCGTAAACATAAATAAATAAAATAAAGAAATTGTGTGTGTGTGTGTGTGTGTGTAAATATAAATATATATATATATATATATATATATGGAAGAGTTCATCAAACTAAATATAAAAGCAAGACTCAACTATATCCTGTTTACTAGAGATGTAATTTAAGTTTAACCAACCCCATGGTTTGACAGTCTTACCTGGGAAAGGGTATCCTAGGGTGGTCAGGCCTTAGCACTAGAAAGACAAATTATCAGAACACGTTTCTCTACAAGTAGTTGAATTCAAGAAAAGGGGCATCTTAATTGAGAGGACAGTCCAAGAACTTGTGTCTGGAAAAAAAAAAAGGCACGAGAATTGCTATAGTTTGGATCCTAGATGACCTCCAAAGGCCTTGTGTGGAAGGCTTGGTCCCCTGTTCATGGAATTATTCAGAAGTGGGGGCGGGGCTAGTGGAAGGAAGGAAATTAGGTCACTGAGGGCATGGCCCTTGAAGTGGACATAAGGACCTGGGCCCCTTCTTTCTCTCTCTCCCTCCCTCCCTGTCTCTCTCGCCCCCCACCCCCCTTGCCTCTCACTCTCTTCTCTTGTGGTGCTGGAGATTCAACGCAGGGCCTTACACAGGCTAGGTAAGTGCTCTACCACACTGAACTACATCCCCAGCCCCTTTTTAGTTTTTATTGTTAGATGTGGTCTTGCTAAGTTGCTGGCATGGACTTTGAACTTGCGATCTTCCAGCCTCAGCCTCCTGAATTGTGATTTCAGGCAGGTACCATTGTGCCCAGCCCACAGGTGGTATCTTTGAATTAGCCTAACTTTGTGCCCTTTGAGCCCTAGGCTGACTAGGGGAGGGTTGTCTCACCTCGGATCTTCATGTTTCTTTCTTTGCTTTGTTTACTGATGCTGTACACTCCCTGGCTTTGCAGGTGACTCCCATAGGGAGTATGTCTGGCCAAGCCCTGTCCCACGCTTCCACTGAGCTTGCAGTGCCTGGAGCAGAGCAGCGGGTTGAGGACCTGAGGACAGAGATGAGACTCACCTCTAAATTCTTCACCCCATCTGCAAAACAAATAAATAAATAAATAATAAGCCTCTGAGTCAAAGGGTGACAGGTCCTGGCTGTGTGATGATAACTGAATCATGTATGTGCTTCTTGGCTGGAGGCCCAGGTAAAAGCTATCTATGGAAAACACTGGCAGAGGAAAAAAAAAATTCCCTACATTTGTGTAATCTGTTGCCTTGTTCTTTCTCATCAAGGTGAGCTGGCAAGGTGGGGTGGCTGGGCCAGCAGGCTTGGTGGCCCTCTAGAGGTGGGGACACTTTGACTCTTGCTCTAATCTTCTCTGCATCCTGCTATCTTTTTCCTCATCTCTCCCATTCTGGGTTCTGCAATGAAGGTTCAGAACTGAGAGCTATTCTGGGCATAAGACCTGAGGTGATCAAGAGATGGCTGCAGCTCTTTCCTCTAAAAAAAGAAGAGAGAGAGAGGGAGAGGGAGAGGGAGAGGGAGAGGGAGAGGGAGAGGGAGGGAGAGAGAGAACCCAATTTACATATGGATAATGCTTCTCAGACTAAGAAAGGAAAATGCTAGCATAGTCCATGCATCCTTAGAGGGGTTATTTTCTTTGCCAAGCTCTGGGATGGTTTTTCCTCGCTGGACCTTACTATGTGCAGGGCTCAGGCAGTATTGGCCACAAGTAGCCATTTATTCCACAGATATTTATTGGGTAGCTTTTATGCGCCACCCACTGCTCTAGGTGTTAATTAAATGAAAGAAAAAATAGAATAAAACCCTAGTATCTAAGCTAATTACAGAGTTTCTAAATGTTCATACAGATATCTGGGATGTTCTTTTAGTTCTATCATGTAGATATCAATAATCATATTTTATTTTGTTATGATTAATTAGGCAGTGATATTACTTATGCATCTATTCCAGTGCTGGGGCAGGGAAGTCGCAAGATGAGCCTGAAGCATATTGAAAAAAGGATGGAAATACATCAAAAGTTACCACAATCAACCTGAAAGGGTTCCTAACAGCCAAAGCTGGAAAAAAATCAGGCATAAATAAATAAATAAATAACAGCAATACTGGGTTATAACTCATAAGATAAAATAAACATGAGTCCATACTAATATGGTAAGCTTTTTAAAATAAGTAAATAAATAAGCAAGTAAATAAATAAATAAATGGGAAAGGACAGCTCCTCCTTATGGAAGAATTATAAATAATACATGTAGGGGAAGAATGAGGAAAAAGAAAATCACCTTGCAAAAGGAAAGTAGTAATTGTTGGGTTCACTGATAGATTGTTGAAAGGAGTCATCAAAAGTTTGAGGCAAAATAATATATTTTCAGTCTCAAGTATTTCCTTTGAGATGTTTATTAATTGCAAAGAGAAAAACAGTAACTTTACAATAGAAAAAATCCAGCAGAAACTACCTTAACCAAAGTGCTCAGAGATAATATCCCCCACTGGGAGACCCATTGGCAAGGTACACCACGGTATGATGCACTGAGGATACGGGTGGGGTATGGTTGTTTGTTTGCCATTATAAGCAATATAAAAACCAACTGGTGCTGGGTTTGGTGGTGCATGCCTGTAATCCCAGTGATTTGGGAGGCTGAGGCAGGAGTATGGCAGGTTCAAAGTCAGCCTCAGCAACTTAGCAAGACCTTGTCTCAAAGTAAAAAAAAAATAAGGGATTGGGGTTGTGGCTTAGTGGTAGAGCGCTTGCCTAGCATGTGTGAAGCATGTGGGTTCAAATCTCAGCACCACATATAAATAAATAAAATAAAGGTCCATTGACAACCAAAAAATATTAAAAAACAAAAATAAAAAGTAAAAAGGGCTGGTGATGTGGCGCAGTGGTTTAGCACCCGAGTTAAATTCTCAGTAGAAGAAGAAGAAGAAAAAAAAAAGACAACAACAAAGAAAAACAGTTGGTGTGAGTTTTCTTTCCCTGTCTTCTTGATCTTGTAACTTCTTCTGGACTGACATTGGCATATCCATGTTCTCAGAGACCGGGGCCAGAAAGATCACACCTCTTAATCCATGGCTTTTGTTACTGGGACCCAGCTGATAGGGAGGAAATAGAGATAAGACATTTCTCCATACTAATTAAGCTTTTAGGACCTTCTGATACAAAGGGTCAAATTTCAGCTACCAATGGAGTTTTGTATATCATTGTGCTTATGCAAATCATAGAAACCAACAGTTAAGAAGAAATTTGTATGTTGCCTTTTGTACTGCATCTAGGGAACAGCTGAGAAGCTGAAGATTCCCTACTTCTATCTTTTGGGTGTTTTTCAAAGAAAACATTTATTTATTTAATTGTCTTTGCAGTGGGGGATCAAATCCAGAGCCTCACAGATGGTAGGCAAGCACTCTACCTCTGAGCTACATTCCTAGCCCAGAAAACTTTATTTTTAAGGAAACTGATTTTTATTTTTCGGTGCTGGGAATTGTACCCAGGGCTCCCCACACATGCTAGACAAGTGCTCTATCACTGAACTACATCCTCAGCTCTTATTTTTTATTGTGAGTAAGGGTCTTGCTAACTGCCAAGCCTGAACTTGGGATTCTCCTTCCCAAGTAGCTGGGACTATAGGTGTGGATCACTGTACCCGGCTAAGGAAACTTTTTTTTTTTTTTTGGTACCAGGAATTGAAACCAGGGGCAATTAACCACTGAGCCACTCCCATCCTTTTTTATATTTTATTTTGAGACAGGGTCACACTAAGTTACTTAGGGCCTTGCTAAATTGCTGAGGCTGACTTTGAACTCGGGATCCTCCTGCGTGAGTCACTGGAGCCACTGGAATTACAGGCGTGGGCCACCACTCCTGGCTAAGGAAACTTTTCCAATGCCATGTGCTATATGTTCTTTCTTGATCTATGAAATAATAACACTGGTACATCAACAGCTGTGCATGTTGTCTACTGCCAAAAGGCTCTCAGGTGAGGGACAAGCAGAGGTTGAAGTCCATCTTCTTCCTGCTCCCCAAGGGGCATGCCTCTGGGGTTTATCCACCAGAGGAATGGATACTTCTAATTGCACAAGGTGCTGATTGGGCTACTTACTGTTGGCTCTGCCAGTAAGCATAGCACATGGGTGATAGAAGCAGATCAAAGATATTTAGTTTGATATGTCAAAGGCATTTTGATGGTCTATGGCTATTAAAAAGTTTTTTTTTTTTATCATTTTACAGCAAATATCCCATTCTAAGTCTAGTGTTTTATTGAAAAATTAAGACTTAGGGGGCATGGTGGCACATACCTATGATCCCAGCAACTGGGAGGCTGAAGCAGGAAGATCCAAAGTTTGAGGGCAGCCTCAGCAATTTGGTAATACCCTCGGTAATTTAGCAAGACCCTTAGCAACTTAGTGAGATCCTGTCTCAAAACAAAAAATAAAAAGGACTGGGGAAGTAGCTCCGTGGTGAAGCATCTCTGGGTTCAACCCCAATTAAAAAAAAAATAAATAAATAAACGGAAAAGAAAAGAAAAATTAAGACTCTAATGTCCCAGAAACCCATTATGCTACTCATGCATCATTGAGAAACTTCCTGGGCTGGGGACATAGCTCAGTTGGTAGAGTGCTTGCCTTGCATACACAAGGCCCTGGGTTCAATCCCCAGCACCTCCTGCACACACACACAATTCCTGTACATATACAATATATATTTGTACACATATATGCATATATACATATTGATCTATTCAAAGGCATCTTACTCTTCAATTCCCCATTTCTTTAAATAATATTCTTTTTATTATTATTATGGTAAAATGTACACAAAATTTCCTGTCTTAACTTTTTTTGTGTGTGTGTGTGTGTGTGTGTGTGTGGTGCTGGGGATTGAACCCAGGCAGGGTCTTGTGCATACTGAGCTTTATCCCCAGCCCCCTATTTTAACAATTTTTAAGTGTACAATTCATCAGTATTGATTGTACAACTATCACCACTACCTATCTCCAGAACATTTTCATCATTCTAAATTGAAATTAATTCTGTATTCATTAAACAATGGCTCTCCATTCCATTCCCTTCTCCTCCACCCCATCCCTTCACCATCACTATTCTATTGTCTGTATGAATTCGACGACTCCAGGTCCCTCATTTAAGTGGAATCACAAAGCATTTGCCCTTTGGTGTCTGTCTTATTTCATATAGCATAATCTCTTCAAGGTTTGTCCATGTTACAATACTTTGGGGGGAGGGCACTTGCTTTTTTTTTTTTTTTTTGATGCTGGGCATTGAACTTAGGAGCACTCTACCACTGGCCACATCCCTAGCCCTTTTTATTATTTTTTAAAAAAATTTGAGACAGGGTCATGCTAAGTTGCTTAGGGTCTTGCTAAAGTGCTGAGGCTGGCCTCCAACTTGTGATCCTCCTGCCTCAGCTTCCTGAGTTGCTGGGAGCCCAGGCATGTGCCACCATGCCCAGCCCTTGATTTCAGATTAGCTATTGTGAAGAATGCTACCTTGAATATAGATGTTAAGGACCCCTTTAACACACTACTTTAAATTCTTTTGAGTCTGGATTCAGAAGTGGAATCACAACATCATGTAGTAATTATTTTTTTGTGTGTTTGGTACTGGAGGTTGAACCCAGGGCGCTCTGCTACTGAGCTGCATCCCCAGCCCTTTTCATTTTGAGACAGGGTCTTGCTAAATTGCTGAGGCTGGCCTTGTGATCCTCCTGCCTCAGTCTCCCAATTTGCTGGGATTACAGGTGTGTGCCACCATGCCGGCTTGTGTTAATTTTATTTTTAATGTATTCATGAGCTATATTTGTGTTTTCTACAGCATATAACTCATTTTATATCCCCACCAGCAATGCACAAGGATTCCAATTTCCCCATATCCTCACCTATGTTTCTTTTTAGCTTTTTCTTATTGTAATATCCACCATAGGGTGTGAAATGATATTTTATAGTGTTTTTTTATGGATCTTTTTCTCTTTTTTTAAATTTATTTATATGTGGTGCTGAGGATTGAATCCAGTACCTCACACATGCCAGACAAGTGCTCTACCACTAAGCCACAACTCCAACCCCATCATGGTGGTTTTGATTTGCATTCCCCTAGTGA